CGTTGCTTTAAATAACAAAATGTAAATATTCTGTAACTGTAATTCAGTGTTGGAATACGTTATAGTATAATATTGATATGAATTTGTTTTTTTTTATTTTATAGACACTGAGTGATGTTACATCCGCATCATATCACTCCACTCAAAGTACAGAAGATTCTATAACAAGTGCAAGTGATAGTGACGTCACAGTATACCAGGAGCCAATAATAGAACAGCGTGTCGAGTAAGCAAACCTAGACCTCTTATCACATTCTTTGACGAGTTTCTTTGTTACAGAACTGCCAGATTATTTGTTTCACATTGTTTATTTATTCCCTCTTTTAAATAATATTTATATTCATTTGTTTTCATATGTTTTTTACTTCCGTTTGTAACTAACGTTTTCTTGGTCACGAGTGTGTTGATTGCCATAAAACATAAAATGTTTTGATTCATAATACAAGTATAAATTTGTATATTATTGAATATCTAAAAATATACATGTATGTTATCCTTTTGCATGTATATTATAACTGCACAACATCAATAACTATTAATATTTGTTGTTTTATCTTACAGAAACAATTTAGTCGACACTGAAGAAACAGATATTAAACCATCTAGAGGACCCGTCTAAATTCATGAAAAAATATATATTTTTAGCTACAATTATCATCGAATATGAACATATTTTTTAATTCCGTATTATGACTTACATATATCAGTATTTTTATAATTGAAGATATTTTGAAAATAATTTGTACATTGACTTATATCTTGTATGCAAAATATAATATTTATGAAACCATAACTTGTGTTTGATGTTTTATTTTTGTTTCATTATTTAATCCCTGATGCATAAAGTTTTAAAAACTCAATAATAAATTATTTTAGTGTGCAATTTTCATTCAACACATACCGTAAAAGAAGCCCTGGGCTTCTTTTTTTTCCTTTTTTCTTTTATTTATTTATTTATTTATTTTTGCGATCTTTGGATTGGTTTCTTTTCGAGGCTGTTTTTGCAAAGTAAAAAATGGGGCTTCTTTTCAAAATGAATGCTGTAAACATTGGGACTTACTTCTATTAAACAATAAATAGGGCAATTGTAGCATCAGTGTGTATCATGGAGTACATTACCTGGCATTAATTCACCTAACTGTATAAGCCAAGCGTGTTTTTAATTATTTATTTTAGTTCTTTGCAATTCATGTAAAGTGTATGTACTGTACTCTATCACTGACATTTATTCAGAAAAATTCCACAACAAATTATATAATACGAATTGTTTACATAGGCATCAAAAGAAGCGGTGGCTTGTCAGTTTGAATACTAAACATACAAAACATACACACACAGAATACATGGAAAACACAGAGTCAACATTTTAATTTTTTAATTTGGAATCGCCCACAATTGCCGGCACCTCCCGGAAGGGGAAATGCCTCAGTGATCAATCATCACGTCACAATAATACCGTGCGCCCTCAGACACCAAGACATCGCCGACAGTGTACTGCCCCGGAAGGTGCCAGCGATCATGGACGACTCCCAAGAAATGAAGAAATTAAATAAGATAAATTATATTTTAAAAAAGAGTTAAAGCAATGCAAGAAAAGTGTTCCCTATTAAGTTTCTAATATCATCTCTTTCAATTTATTTTTTGACCGAGTTCAGCGAATTTATTTTTAAAAGGCTATTATATAGCTCATTCCAGATATTTGGTCCGTGAATAAAAATAGATCTATAACAGGATGTCAGTCTTGAAAAAGGTACATACATTTTGTTTGAAAAGAAGCCCATGCTATTTTGAAAAGAAGCCCATAGGCTTCTTTTAGAGATGACCTTTTAGAGATGACCTCTTCAGTACCAAGAAACCAAAGTGGATGCAACCCATATGCTCAAGAATTGCATCAAATAATAACTCAGATGTCCGCATCTCAGCGCACACAGTAACAATTAACACAGTAATTTGTTGATCAACAACAAAGAAATTTGTTACCCCAATCAACCATACCTAAGTTTGGAGGAGATCCAATCGAATTACGATCATTCCTAAAGGCATTTGAAAGTAGAGTGGGTAGTCGTACTCATCGCCTTAGTGAAAAGCTTCACTATTTGGAGCAGTATACAACTGGAGGTCCTAACACACTCGTACGAAGTTGTATGCACCTTGATCCCGATGTTGGATACTACGAAGCTTGGCGATTACTGTTAGAGAAGTATGGCAACGAATACAAGATAGCCATAGCATATACCGACAAAATTATGAGTTGGTCAATTGTCTGACCAGATGACTTGGATAACTTAGAAAGATTTTCAATTTTTCTTTCTGGCTGCAAAAATGCAATGGAGGATCTAAAATCCATGAGAGAAATCGAGCATCCACAAAACCTACAGGCAATTGTTAAGAAATTTCCATATTAGGCCTACCTGCAGGATAGATGGAGCCGCAGAGCCCACGACCTTATGGATACAGATTCATGTATAAATGGAGTACGACGCTTCATTGCACGAGGGCAAGTTAAAGAAATTCGGTCCGATAATGGGACTATTTTTTTTTGGAGCAGAACGGAACCTAAGAGAAGCCATAAAGGAATGGAACCAGTCAAAAATTTACAACGCAATGATTCTCAAGAATGTAGAATGGTCACTTAATACTCCCGGAGCTTCTCAGCATAGAGGAAAAGGCAGATACGCTCAGTAAGAAACATTCTTAACGCAATGCTTAGACAGCAGCCACTAAACGACGAGTGTCTACAAACATACTTATGTAAAGTAGAAGCAATTATCAATAACAGGCCTATCACCACAATTTCTGGAGAATATGACGATTTTGAGCCACTTACACCAAATCATCTTCTACTATTGAAACGGAAACCATCTATGCCACCAGGTGTATTTTGTATGGAAGACATGTACGGCCGGCGTCGCTGGAAGCAGGTGCAAAATATGGCAGATGTCTTCTGGAGACGATAGTTGAAAGAATATTTACCTACGCTACAAGAACGTCAGAAGTGGCACACAATAAGACCTGTCTCTTATACACATCTAGATGTGTATAAGAGACAGCCGTATGGCCTGTCTGACTTCCCGATGTATTAACTTATTTTCATTTTTATTTCCAGTAAAAAATATGCGTTTCTTTTTATTTATCAAGTCTTTCAGTTTCTTTTTTATCCATGGTTTGTTATTTGGAAATATAGTTATTTCCTTGGTTGGAATTATATTTTCAACACAATTATTTATATATGCAGTAATAACTTCGACTTCTTCATCCAGGTCTGCTGATGATTCGTAGAAAGTTTGCCAATCGGTTGAGTCAAAACAACCTTTGAGAGTTTCAATACTGTCCTCGGTCCACACTTTAATTCTCTTGACAACTTTTTTAGCTCGACGAACTAATGGAACATATATGGGAAGCAGCCGTATGCAATTATGGTTTTGAGCCACTTACACCAAATCATCTTCTACTATTGAAACGGAAACCATCTATGCCACCAGGTGTATTTTGTAAGGAAGACATGTACGGCCGGCGTCGCTGGAAGCAGGTGCAAAATATGGCAGATGTCTTCTGGAGACGATGGTTGAAATAATATTTACCTACGCTACAAGAACGTCAGAAGTGGCACACAATAAGACGCAACGTTAAGTTAGGAGATATTGTATTAGTGGTGGATAATGCAACACCTAGGAATACATGGTTGCTAGGAAAAATAATCAATGTAAAGCCCGACAGTAAGGGGGTAGTTAGAATTGCGCAAGTCAAGACAGCTAATTCTACTTTGGAATGTCCAATAACTAAATTGATATCGACATTGGAGAATGATATTTAAAATTTTCATAAGATGATTGTATAACATGCTGTGTAGTATTTTTGATTGAATTGTTAATTGTAATTGTTTTCACAGTTAAGAGGCCGGAATGTTATGGCCATTTTACTTCTTTTGCATTATTTCGCATTCTTGTTGCTACGGCAAACGCGCGTATGGTTTATACCCGCGTGCGTAGAGAATCATACGAAAGTATCTTTCGGTTCGGTTTTAATGATTCATCTGTTTTATCGATCCCAAGCCGAGCACACCTTGTAAGTAGCCTAGGCCTAGACTTAACTATATGATATATAAACATAACTTAAATATGATATAATTTGGAAGTTTAGATGATTGTTTTAGCATTATTTTTAATATAGGCCTTGCATGCCATTATGGGATATGAGGACCAATTCGTAAGTCTTATTAATTGTTAATATGATTAGTTATTGATTGATTGATGATTATCGTTATTTATTATCTATTGTTACTATTTTGTAGTTCAATCGTTACGTGGTTAGACGGCGTATCATATGTACCGTACTGTTGGTTGGAAATGGTATCTTTTGTACCGTTATATTGGAAAAAATAAAGTTAACCAGCAACGCATTGAAAACATCGGTCTTAGTGTTTTATTGGGGTCGAAATAGACGAAACACCAACAATATTCATTTTAATTAATTCTGGATATAGTTTTTCTTATAATCAGGGAACAGTGAAATTTCACTGTTCCCTGCTTATAATGATATATCAACACTCCGGTGTCAAGTAAAGATATCAGTAAGTTGGGAAAACTGTATCCAAAAATTCTGTCACGGCAGAAACCGATATAATAATCCTAAAGTGCTTGGTGTCTTTCCAAAATTTATATAATTAAATGTATAATACTCATCATTTGCATTACTGTACATAATACACTTTAATTGAGCAAGAAAAGCTGACAAATTGGCGTAATTAATTTGAACCTATTTATTATACTATGCACTCAACTGCACTTGGTGTTCATAATGTTGTACTATAATAAGCTATGGCTAGTTGCTATTCGTCCTTTATACTTATAGGCTGTACCTTTATATAGATTTAAACGTTAAAGTGACCGAGTCCTAATGAGTGAAGAAGTCGCTCTGTGTTTAGACGCAATCGATCGGATCTTAGTAGCGTTTAGAATTCGAGTGTAGGTATCTAATTAATTAATTAATTAATTAATTTTATATGTGTATATACCTGATGGAGACCTATGGCCGAAATCCTGTAAATAAAATCTGAAAAAGTTATGCTTTGTAATGATTCCAGCAGTGCTGCAAGAAAATGTGTATACACACAAAACTACACATAGAAGAAAAAAAATATTTGTATGGAATACCATACACCTAATGTGTATGCTTAAATATTTATGCAAATTAATGGTTGTGTCATAGCTTAGCGCTGATTTCAAAAACATTCGGACAAGTCAGTCTAGTAAGCGGTTAATTTTATACGTGTTCAAGTACAGCCGTTGTAAGTAAGCTGCAATATATATTAATACAAAAAAAATCACAATATTTGGTTTGCATTTGTAAGATACATATTTAAGACTTGGCCTGTTATTTCGTGTAATTGCTTGTGATTCGGACTGATATTAAAACAGGAGTACTAGTGCAGTTTCAGGCGGTTCATTAGACCTGGCTGCGCCGTTGTTTTTCATGGTTGCATATTATGTTAGCATTTCCATTCACTTACCAGTTCATTTCAAATTAAATAAAATACAGAAAACCAACTTTGCGTGTCGTTTAATATTAGATTTGAGCTTGTTACTACCTGAATAAGCATGCCAGATATCGTTGATATATATGCAATACTATACTCAAATAATTATTATAGATAATACACATTTACACATTTATATTATTTAAACGTATACATGCATTTGCACTTGTCCAGACAATTGGTATCTTTCATATTACTAAAATTGTTATGTAGCCTTTTTAGTAGTATAGCAAACAGATGGAAATTATGAATAAGGGGTATGCATTTATACTCGACACGCTTGAAAATACACTATTTCATCTTGCAAGTAAGTGTATCCCTTTGCATAGTTATATACTGTAACAATAGTATGCTTTAATTGCGCGGTTGTATATTGAATTCTGCTTTCAGCAGATATTAGCACAGTATGTCAAATAAATCGAAACCAAATATCCAAGATTTGCAACATGAAGATTTGGCTGCACTGCGAGGTGTTGATGTTTCTGAAATTTCAGTCCCAGCTGACCTTAAGGAAAACGTGAAAGAGCTTGCCAAATACGAATATCCATTTCGCAATCTGATATTTGGTGGTGGCGGTAATCGGCTATTTGCATATACGGGATCTTTAAAGGTAATTGACGAAAATATTCAGAATCATATCTACAGCAATGTTTATTTTTTATAAATGTATACGTTGACTGGTATAAGAAGAGTCAATGGCATCACTATATTGATGATTGTAAAATATGTAAATATTTATATATTTATAGATTTAATTAAGATCAAAATGATACCAATTCTGTAGTGTCATCAATTACGGAAAACAGATTATTATTTTAAATTGGAATATTGATGAGGCATTGTGTGTATTGTATTTTTATTATTTACTTTCGTTTATATGATTAACATTTAAATTCATTAAAAGGCAACAAAACATATACAAAACTGATAAGAAGAATTAAAAACAAAGTATTGAGTTACGTTTAACTTCATTAATTATTGTCTAAATATTTAGTTCACTAAAATAATATCTGTTAATATTACGTTGGACACTTGTCAGAAAATCGATTTTCACACTCCTGCACATGGTGAGCAACGCATCAATGATAATTAGTGATTGGTATAATGCCACTTTTATATATTTTTCACCTACCTGTTTAATTGATCATTGTTGATTGGATGACAAACAAAGCTTTGCTTTAAAATTTGAAAAAAAAGACATTGTTTTTTGGTCATTATTGTGTTGTAATAACAATTGAATATAAAAATGTTTAAAACTTGCTTGATCAAATTAAAGGTTCTTGAGGATGTTGGCATATTATCGAACATTAAGAGACTGGGAGGAACGAGCTTAGGAGCACTTACGGCGTGTTTCATTGCACTTGGACTGACACCGCATCAGTTGGTCGTCGAAGTAGAGAAAGCAAGGTGTAAAGTTGAGAAAATGTTGCTAGGTAAACACATCAATCCACTTGGTCAGACATTTAATTTTCATATCTATATTGTGTGACAGTCATTCAATAATAATATGTGTTCATGATTGTAAAAATGAAAATAAGATAAATCGAATATAAAATATTATGCATACGTGCATCAGATACGATTAAAATACGTTTTTGATGCATTAAAATGTTATTTTCTTGTCATTTAATTTTCATATCTATATTGTATGCCAGTCATTCAATAATTATATTAACGCACATCAGTTATGAATGCTCATTATTATTTTATAAGCATACATTTGTCTATGAAGATAACTGATGAATCCGTAATTATGGTACCAGAAGTAAAATAATGGTTGATTCTTTCATGGGATATTCCTTAATGTTTACAAATAAATATTGTTTTGCCAATGTCACTTTGGATTTTTCCTAAATAAAACCTGCATAATCGAAAGGATAAAAGGGGTAATATTTTGTGATTAGTCACTTTTTTTTTGCCTTTTGTATAAATTTGTGTAACATTAAAATATTGATATTTTTTTTCTTTATTAATTTCAAAAGCAAACTTGCTTTATATAATTTATAAATCATACTAATACCAAACTGATATTCGTTTTTAATTTTACTATATCTGCCTATAGATGCACGATGGGGTATCCTCAGTCTAATTTTTAACTTGAAATCTGAGTACGGATGGCATCCGGCCAACGCCTACACCAAGTGGTTAGAAGACAATATCAAAGATTATGGAGGACATGGCCAACTTACGTTCAAAGAGGTATGTATTGGCATCAAACAAACTCAAAATTTAGCCACCCACTTTCGTTCGTCACGATTGTACTCTCAATTAAATTTTTGTTGAAAACATGTATACACGTACTTAAGAAATTGAGGATAACACTGTGTTTACGCAATCAAACTTAGAAAATGAACAATATAACATAATTTTTTTTATAGATTACTGTATGTTATATTCACCAATAACTTGCATAAAAAATTATCCTACATAGGAAAAAGAAGACGCATGTACATACAAACATATATAATTGAATAAAAGGCAAAATACTGAAAACCAACAATGCTGTGGGCAAGAATGGCAACAAAAACTATAAGAGGTGCATTTTTTTTTAACAGCTTTATGAAAATACTGGTAAAGAGTTGTGCTGTGTTGCAACCAATCTTAACCTAATGACAGCCGAATACTGCCACGTAAAAACCACGCCAGATCTGCCGATAATTGTTGCACTGAGAATGAGTATGTCATTGCCAGGTAAGAAAAAACCAATAATTTAATTTTTGTATTAATTTGATAATATTCAACCATCAGAATTCAACAATAACAAAACAATTATTCAAATATTAATTACCAAGTTGATTAAGCAGGAATTATTAAAAACTATACTTAAACTTTCTAAGCGAGACTTAATCCATTAAAACATTATTGCTTAATGTGTGGGTATGCAATATATAATATCACAAAGAACATAAATATACATAAATGTGATTATGCCAAAACATATTTATTGTTGCCCAATCTGTTTTTTCTCTGCCTGTCAGCTCTTCTATGTGCCGTAAAACACAACCTGAGAGGAGAGGATGATATTTACGTTGATGGCGGGCTATTGTGCAATTACCCTATACATGTGTATGACGGTAGGGCCCTATCTGTTCATAAAATAAACAAAATAGGGGTATTAGTGGAGAAGACGTTATCAGGAAGGGAGTAGCTTCTCCTATTGGGAAAGAAATTACTACTGCTAGTATACTGCTATGAATATTGTTGCTGATATTGCTACTATAACTAACACTGCTACTGTTACTGCTATAGACTGCTAGACTGCCGCTATACTGCTGCTACCAATCCTTAAAAGTAAATAATAAATCGGCTTTGCATTTAATTAAATTAAGTTACCGTACTCATGCGAATAAGCGCCCGGGCGTTCAAAATATTGAGGGGCGCTTATGAAAACAGAGTGGAAATTGAGCCGCGCTTATGGAAACAGATACAAATTGAGGGGGTTGTTATGGGAACTTAGATAATCCAAGGGGCACTTTTTGAATGAAGAGATTATGTAAGAACATCTGGAAACCCAAGAGAAACGAATGGTTCTGGTGCAGAAACATAATCGTCCAGACAGCATGGCTCATGAAAAGAATGCTGTGAGTATTTACACAAGAGCAGATTAAATTAGTGGTGGTGGAGGTAATGGGTGTTGGCCATCTTCCGATTAAGATTTTCAGGATCATAGTAGGGTTTGTACTCAGATGAGAAAGTGCTAAAGGTGCAAATTGTCGGAGGAAAAAAGAGAAATTGAAGTTGACAAAATAAGAAGATTAAAGGTACAGTTTAGCTCAGCTAGTCGGCTAATCTGGTGGTAGCCACTGTGTGTGTGCGCTGAACCGTGGAGATCTCTAGGTCCCCGGTTCAATTCTCATCGCTGCCTCTCCTTGTGTTTCAGCTGGAGGGCTGAAATACAAGTTACAATAGCGCACCGTCTTTCGGATGAGACGTTTAAGCCGCTGGTCCCGTGTGCATTTATGGTCCATGTGCACGTTAAAGGACGCAGTACACTCTTCTGAAAAGAGTAGGGGATTGTCTCCCGGTGTACTTCTTAATCACCACCAGAAGGACCCCACTGGAAATAAGTCGTCTTCTAGATTTTCGTGGCTATCCTTGGTGTTTACACCAATTAAATCCAATCCACCCATCTAAAAAAATGTGAACCCACTCTGAAGTTCAATTGCCAACCACAGTCTCAGGATTGATTGGGTTATTGGCTTGCTAAAATAAAATATTGTTGAGAGGCGCTTATTCAAACGGGGCGCTTAAGAAAACGTTAAACTGGGCGCTTATTTGCGCGAGTACGGTACTTATTTTTCTTGAAGGATGGTGGCTGTCAATGAAAGAAGAAAATACGTTTTTTAAGAAACTCCGGCCAGCTGCAAATATTGCCAAGCTCTACGACACCAAAGAACGATTTAAAGAAAAAAATAAAGAAACATTGGGTTTGTGTCTTGTGAGTACCCTATCGGCATTTGCATTAAAATTATTATACAATCATAAGAAAGAAAATATTATAGTACTATTGTTATTATAGTTTTAATACTTTTAAATTATCAACTCAATGTTTAAATTGAATGTGGTAGTTTCCCAGTTTTATTACAAAGTAAAATACAAAATTTTCTGTACTGTAAATACTAATAATTATAGGGAAACAAGTATTTAAGAAAAACATATTGTATTATCACTGCATTTAGTAATGTTGAAAAGCACCAAACGTAAAAAATGATTGAGGAGACACAAGCAAGCCAGTGTCTGAAGAAGGTGGACTAATAGTTACCAAAACGTCACATAATGTAACAATAGTCTGATAATAGTATGTTTCTTACAAAAAGTTTTCCTCATCTATTTACAGGAAACATGATAATAATACAGAGTTACGTACCAGTTCCTGTGTATAACATGCACAAATCGATATCGATGACTCTGATATTGTGTAACATTATTTCCAATTTTGCTTTCTAACAGTACACTGAAACTGAGTCAAGTTTAATGCAGATTAATTTCAACGAGCGATATTGTGGGAAACATGCTAAAATCCCAGATACTAAGCTTGCAAGGTAAGTGGTATTATAAATTTTACTTTTTAACAAATACTCAGTTCAATTTTGTCTTATAAAAATCCTTCATTTTCTGTGTACATAACCTGTAACCTGTTTTAGTTGAAGAGGGCAGTGCGAATCAACTAACAATACGCTATTTGGTACAAACACAATGGCTATGTTCTCACACGGCTGCTAACGGTTAGCAGGACCGTTAGCTGCCGTGCGTCCATACGAGAAAATCCCGATCAGGATACAAAATATGATGATCGAATCACTGGCCAATAAGAAACTTATAATTGTAAACGCGTACATGTGATTGGTTGATGATAAAAAGGCGCTTGCTAACCGCTAGCGGTATCCGGATACTGCTAACGGTTAGCGCTAACCGATCGGGCGTTCTCACGCACGTGCCAACTTAGCTCCCGATCCGGATACTAGGGCTCTCGTGAGAGCCAGGCTAAAAAAATGCAACACACTGTACCCGCGTAAGGATATGCTGAAATTTGCTGGTGACGTGGTGTATGATGAAATAAGCAAGCCTCGAAGTAAAAGTGTAAAACAAAGAGTTCGGCGAAATAAAAAAAATAATACTTTCTAGTGTCACATCTCAACAAAATTTTAGGTGGAGATGGAGAGAAGTGGATTTTTTAAATCAATATACAGTATCTGTAATCTACGTATATGTGTTGGATTAGATACTACTTTAGCAGGGCCATGCTTAGGCAAAACTGGGAGTGCATAAGCTACAAACACTGAGCGTGATCCTTTTGTGTACTTTTCAACATCAATAAGTTGTACTACCGAAAACTTGGATTTATCGCTCTCATTAAACTGCGGCGTGACAAAGTTATTTTAGGCCTACAATAGAAAGTACTGTTTCTATTATTCTAGCTGGGTAAATGAAAGTACTGTTCCTAGTAGGTACAGCGCAAACACAGAATGGAGTTCCAATTCTTTCGTTAGTGGTACTGGTCCGAAGTGATCCAATACACTGTTCACAATTCTCAATTGTAATTGACAATTACCTACCACTGTATATTATGTATAAAAGTAGAAAAGAGAGAAAACAAATGTTCAATACATGTAAAATGATACTCGCACTAATTATGGGACGTATGAATTCTCCATGCACTGATTAATATTGTGGCATCATTATGCTGTGTGTTTACATTAACTGCTATCGATGTCTGGGTTCTGTACAAAGTGATTCTAATTCGGTGTATTGGAACAGAGCATTGTGTTCAAGTTAACACAAGTTAAAATATGTATCGTGACCTCTGTGTTTCTTATAAAATTAACGAAAGGGATGGGGAAGTCCACATTATCAGCACCAGCAACCGTTAATTTCATAGTTTGAAGAAGATTCATCTATCATTATTATTCATATTATTGTTGATTTTTCCTTTAAAATAGAAAACGAAAGGATACAATCGAGAAGAAGAAAAAGTGTAGTAATAATCGCAAAGCACTCGCCTCATCGTTTGTCAAGTTCTTTGATGTCATTGATAAGTTTGACAAGGACAACAGCGGAACCCTCAGTTTGGCCGAGTTCAATGATTTATTCGAAAGAAGTGTAAGTTACCAAGTATGTCAGTGGCGGATCTAGGACTTAACAATGGGGGGGGGGAAGGAGGGGGGAGGGGAATG